AAAAATCTCTAAGTGTTGAACTCGATCGAGTTAGGATTAGGCGGCTCGAGCTGCTGTTCTTGCATCATCTTTGGTTCTAACACTTAGCCTTCTGCCAAAGCAAAGCCACTTTCTTGAGAGATCCCTGTTACTAAACCACCATACAAAAGAGACCCTCTTTGTCTCTTAACCCATAAACCCTTGAAACCAAATGAGTTGATTGATCTTGCATGTTTTTGGTTCACTGTTTTTGCTTAATGAATGTTAAAGGGATTTGCTGATTTGAATGCATTGTTTGAGTGACTGTGAAGTGGGATTGATGTTGATAAGCATGGTTAAATCTTAATGAATATCTCTCACCTTGTTGCATTCTAGAATCTCTAAGTTGGACATTTAGCAAATCGCTTTTGAGGACATGTTTTTAAGTGTTGAATCAGCTATTTTCAAACCTCATCCCTTCTTGTTCTATTTGTTTGCTTGAGGGCAAGCAAAGTTCAAGTTTGGGGGTGTTGATGTACTTGCATTTTACATAGTTTTAGCACATCTTTTATGCATCTTTTGCATAGTTTTAGCTTCCATTTGCATCATATCTTGTTCCTTTTCTCTTCTTATGCATTCATGTTAGTTTTAGGTTGCATTTGCATACATATGCATGTTTGGTCCTTTGAAATAGGTCTTTTGGAGCATTCTGGAGCATATGGGACATGAGGAGCATGGAGGGACTTGGCACATGGAAGCAGCTCAACTGGACACGCAAAGGAAGAAGGGAGAAGCCATCTTGAAGACCAGCTCGACCGTCCACTCGACCAACCGGTCGAGTTCCTCAACTCGACCGGCCAAGCTTCAACTCGATCGAGCTGGGGAGTCAAAGTCAAACCCGAAAAATGTTGCTTCCCCCTTGACTTTCCTTTGACCCTAAACCTAAATCCTCTTGTATTTAAAGGCTCTAAGCCACGAAAAAACCACCAAGCTTTAGATTATTTTGTTTTAGTTTCTTTTAATTTATTGTCTTTTACTTTTTAGAGATCTAATCCCATCTTTGTGTTCTTGAAGCTCTTGCTTCTTGAATCTTAGATCCTGGATAATCTCTTTGTATTTGCACTTGCTTATTTCAATAAAAGTTGTTTAATTTCATCTCCTCTTTCTTATGATGTCTCTTTTATTGCATTTGCTTGTGTTTACATTCATGTGTAGTGAGTAGTTACCCATTGGGGTTTGAGATGGGATAGATTAGAGGTTTCATATGCTTAATCCTTCTAGCTTATGGTCTTAATCTAGATTCTCTCTCTTTTGGATAGATCTTAAGGCTACATGACCACTACCCCTGGCTTGTAAGTCCTTAGGCGACTCCCCACACGAAAGTGATGGCATTCGCTGGAAAAGATCCACTAAGAGCTCCAATATCTCTTGCTCTAGACAATAGAGGTCTAAGGGGTTGGATGGATTAGTTTGGGCAATGATCCTATAGCCTCCAAGGTTTGATTCTCACTGGCTAACCCCCTGTTTCTGAGATCATTCCTTGGTTGATAGCCTCCACCTTGGGAAAGGGTTGGCTAGGCATTGAGAAGCCCAATATCAAGAGAAGCCTTGATACAAGGAGTTTTAAGAGCTAGATTGATTAAGTGTAGATTCCTTTGATTGCAAAACCCTGTCTTGAACCCTAATTCTCTCTTTATCTTGTTAAAGTCGTCACCTTTACTGCTTTTTGTCTCAACTCGACCCTAAACTCGATCGAGCTGGTGCTCTGCCAACTCGACTCGAGTCCTTGGTCGAGCTACTTGTTTACTGCTTTGTTTACTTTTATTGCACTGCATTTCATTTTTAGGTTGTTAGTGTTACTTCAAATCTATAACTGCTTGCTTGACTTTCTGGTTGTTTCATATTCTCATAGAGTGACAAGTTTCCCATTTTGGATTGATAACCCTTTGTACTACATCAACTATCATGGTTAAAGGGAATTGTTGACTGTGTTTGTGTTTGCATCTTACCACCATCATTTACCACTGATTGCATTCCACTCATCTCATTTCATTCTTTTCACATCCACACACAAAAATCCTATCATCAGAAGATTGAGTACAAGATAAGGTACAAGGGGAGATCAAGACCATTCTCTAGAGCCTAAGGCCTTGGTCACTTCAGAACAATCCAGGGATCCAACCAAGCTAAAGGAGCTTCTGTCTCAAGTCCTCACTATCACCCTTGATGGTGGGACTAGCTCAACCAATGCCTAAAAGGTAAAGGTCAAGCTATGGGACCTTAAACAAGCTCACTTGGGAGGAAGTCCCATGTTTATCCTTGTACATATTCTTTATGCAATTTCTATCTATTTTATGTCTTTAACCTTTCAATAAGTTAAGTTTAGGTGACAAAGGAGCCAGCTCGACCGACAGCTCGATCGAGCTAGAAACAAGGGTAACTCGATCGAGTTCCACAACTCGACCGAGGTAAGTTTTTGAAATTCAAATTCTAACCGTTTTCTTGGTCAAGGGAGTGGGTCCCACAAGTAATTTTGGTCCCCCACTACCCTAAATCAATCAGAAAAATCCCTAGCTTTTGTCCCCTCTTCAATTCATCTTTTAATCTCAACCACACATCTCAAACACTCCCTCTTCCCCATAACTCGATCGAACCCCACTTCTCCCTCTCTCCCACAATCTAAAAATTCTGAAAATCATCATCTCTCTCTTCACCCTAAGAAAAATCCGAAATTCTCTCATCCTCTCTTAAGTTTTTCGATTTTCATTGTTCATCATCTTGATTTGCTTGGGTTCTAGTTTACTGCTCTTCAATTCATCATTCAAGCAAGGTATGAACCCTAAAACCCTTGAATCCTTCATCTCGATTTCTCATTATTGCTTGTTTTCCCTTTGATTTTGATTGCATGTGCCCCTTGTGGGCTTGTTATTGAGTAATTGCTTCATATCATTCTCCTGCTTATAGTTTTGTGAATTTGCCTCACCTCACCTCTGTTTTACCATTAAACTTGTTGCATGTGCTTAAAACATTGAATTTGAGTTTGGTATTGGTTAAGATGCTTTGGTCTTCACTAGAATTGCTCATTGTTCCATTTACTTGTTGTTCTTGGTTCAATTTGATTGACAAGCATCTTTCCAGCTCTTATTACTTGAATTTAGGTTCGGTTATACTCTGTTTTCACCTAGCTCGATCGAGTTTGTCACTCGAGTTTTTTGACTCGATCGAGCTGAGTGTCGAGTTGACCAAACCGATCATTACAACTCTAATTCTTTGTAATCTTTGATGCATTTCAGGTACTTAGTGAAAAACAGTGTAACAAGGATGACAAACAGTGAGGGAAGCCGTGCTTCACAAAGGAGAATGGTTGAGGGTGAATCAAGCAATGCAAGGGAGAGAAGGCTAAAATGCAAGCCGATTTGGAAGCAATGACTCAAAGGATGGAAGAGTCTGATGCAGAGGAGTATGTCTACTCTGAGGAGGAGTCTGAGAGCGAGAGATTGAGGGAGGAAAGGAGAACCAAGAAGAGGAATGACCCCATTAGTAGTGAGAGTGAGCAAGGAGAGTTTGAGATTGGGGTGAACCTTGTTCAAGAGGAGGGTGATGGCTCTCCAAGTGAAGAAGGAAGTGATGAGTCTGAGAGTGAAGAGGAAGGAGAGGAGGTGAATCAATTGGTTGATGAGAGTGCAAGAGAGTAACCAAGATGAGCCCATGGAGGAGGCTGAGCCACAAGAGGAGGAGGATGACTCCCCATGTACCAAGAGCACTACAATGCTCTCTTCTCCATGGACTTTGTGGAGACCAAGTACCCACATGATGACACAATGAGGGCTCTTGGGATCTTTGAGGATGTGGAGTTGGTACTCAAGAACATGCAATTGGCAAGTTCTTCTCTCACCGCATGGAGTCTACAAGGAGCTCACTTGTGAGTTTTTGGCATCGATGAGGTATCACCAATATGATGAGCTCGATCGAGCTGAGTTGGACCAAGGCTGGGGATGGATTACTTTCTTGGCAAAGGAGAGAGGAAGATGGTAACCTTCAGGCAGCTTAGAGATACTCTTTGGTTCACTATGGAGAAGGAAACCTATGGAATATCAAGGAAGATGAACTCCAAAGAGTGTGGGCTACAATCGCTGAAGAGGGGTACTCTTCTTCAAGGTCAAAGGCTGCCCAAATCAGGAGCCCAGTGCTGAGATATGTCCACAAGGCTCTTGCCAACACCTTCTTTGCAAGGAAAGCCACTGGTACAATCAATGAAGGAGAAGTGAAGCTCCTTGACATGGGAATTAAGCCCATCATCTCACGCACAAGGGATGGGAAGAAGATCAGAGGAGATAGGGCACACGCAGGAAACTCATGCCTCTCCTTGAGCAGCTGCTCTCCTACAAGACCACGGCTTACAACACTCGACATCAAGAGGAAGAAAGCTTAGTGTTGGAGGAGTGATCACACCAATCCTTTGTGCTGCTGGAGTCCAACTGACAAGAGGATGTCAACTCCAGCTGGATGGATGGACATCAAGTTTTGCAAGACCAACCTCCTCATTGAACACAAGGAGTTGGATGGGAGGTCCAATTCAAGTTCACACATCCATTGGCTGGTCCTTCCAAGCTTCTCCTGCCCAACCCAGAGCTCACCACATAGTCAGGGGTGAGAACATCGACTTCAGACCCCCTGTGTACACTAGTTGGGCATGAGGATGATTTGCGAGAAGAGGAGCCTGAACTCGATCGAGCTGAGGATCGAGCTGAGGCTCAAGCTGAAGATCGAGCCCAGGAGAATGCGGATTTGGGTGAGCCTGATGTTACTATTTTGAGGAGTATGAGGCTCCAAGGATGAACCCCTCTGTTGTGGCTGCTCACAAGAGGATTGGACTTCTCCAAAAGTTCAACAAATGGCAAGGGAAGGCCATTGAAAAGATGCAAAAGTCCATGGACAAGATGGTGAGCAAGATCAAGAGTTTGGAGAAGAAGGTTTCTGGTTCTTCATCCAAGAAGAAGAAGGCAACCATGGCCCCCACATTCCTAGGAGTAGATCTCTCCTCACCACTCCAAGGAGGCTTCATACCCAAGAGCCTCACAGAGCCTCATCATTTGAGCCAAGGGAAGGAGAAGACAACTCGCAGAGGAGGAGGAAGAGTTCCAAGGCTCGACGCAGCAGCTCGACCACATGACTCGATGATATATCCATATCTTTCATGTTTTTATCAAGGTTTTCACTATGTTTTCAATACAAATAATGTGGTTTTTAAGCCCAAGAGGTAGTTTTCTTGTATATTCTGGTTTTGAGCATCATTCAGGTCAAAATAGCAAAGAAGAGTCCAAAATGGAGCAAAAAGAGTCAAATCACCAAGTTCCCAAGTCTAGAGCACCAAATCTACATTTCTCGCTAAAGACCAAACCGGAGCATCCGAAGTACGACCGCATGTTCATGCCTTCCCGACGTCCAAAAGTCATGATTCTTATATGGAAAGATAGATATTTGAGTCGTGACCCGCGGCGAAGTGGAAAGAGGTCATTTGGATCACTCGTTGGACCGGAACTTATTTTCTACCAAGACATGTCCGACGAGCGCCTAAGTAGAGCCCATGGAGACTTTGATGGATCAAGAGGCCCGGATACCGCGCCCAAGGCCTTGGCTCGTCTTGACACTAGCATAACTCAATCCAGAAGCTTCCATTGGCCTGAACGCGGCCCATTCAAGAACTTGGAGAGCAAGCTCAAGCGGCTAAAGAGAAATGGAAACTTTCCTCTTCTGCGCGCGCTCAACTTTGCCGACCTAGACCCGCTCTCTACCTATATATACTTGCTTTTAGCCTCTTGTAATAAGAATCACCAGCCGCATAACAAGAAACACTTATTCAATAAAGTTCGGAGCCACTTAGGTGGTCTCCTTCTTCTTTCTTTTCTTCTTTTGCATTTGTATATAGCTTGCATGTTTCAATTTATATAGTCTAGAAGTAGAGATTTCTCCCTAAGGGTGAGGCGTGGTTTAGTCCATATTCCGCCGCCTCTCTCTCTAAGGATTCATGAGACTTCATCTACTATCTAAGACTCATTGTTGAATTATGGATCCTTCCAATGAGGACGTGATATAATGGCCATCGAAAATCGATTGTTAAAAGGGGAAACCCTATGGTTCTCCATCTTTATTTATGCTTAATGCCTGTTGCTAGAGTAGCTAACTAGTGACTTGATTTTAGGTTGATATACTCTCCAAAAGCTTGTTATATCTCCGGATATAGTATTTGATGGGCAAATCGTTTTAGGCTACGAAAGTAGACCTAAAGAGTTTTGTGAACAATCATTACTTGGATGTAATGCATGTCTCACTCTACAATGACCAACGAAAGCTGAGCCCATTGGTTTAAGAGACATAGGGGATTGGAACCACGAAAGTGGAATAATCCTTCCTTAGTGTTTTGAGTTCAAAAGAATCGGATTTTAACAAACTTTTCAATCGACTTGGCTCATGTTTTCAAAAGAGTTTTCAATAGTTCAATAATGTTGCTTGTATAGATTTGCATTGTTATTTTCTTTTGCGTGTTCTCAACAAACACAACCCCTTGCATATTTTGATTTAGCTTAGACATTTAAACTCTATGATTATGTAATGTGTGAAATCCAATCCCTTGTGGTTCGACCCCTAAATACTACAATTATATGTTGTGCACTTGCAACACTAGTTGTCTTAGGGAATTATTACTTGTACTCATCCCATAGATGCCGCATCACTCGATCGAGTCCAAACTGAGGAAACTCAACTCGGTCGAGCTGAGGGTCGAGTTGGTCTTGAGGGGTCAGAATTCGAGAACCCTGGGTTCGAGTACGATCCGACACCTTACCAGGAGTATCCCCAGAGCAGGTGGAACCCATACGGTCAGTTCGAGCTAGCCAGGCTCCACCAAGGCCAAGGGAGCCACACACACTTCAACGATGAAGAGGAAGAAGAGGAGCCGCAAGCTCGATCAAGCGAGGTGAACCCGGTTGAGTGGAGTACCCCTGATGGCCGCCTGCCCTCTCCTGACCACGACCTTGCCTCCCAGTTATTTGGGGGGGCACTGAGGTATCAAACATCAACCATTGTACATACCATTTCATATTTCTTGCATTTATTTTTATTTCTCTTGGTTTTTGCCTCTTGAATATTTCACTAAATTTCTCTCACACAAGGGACTGTGTGATTTAAGTTTAGAGAAGATTGTGGAGTGCCAATCATGTTTCATCTCACGCCTTGTTCGTGTAGTCCGCCACATTGCACCAGAGAGACTCTTTCGCCCTTCTCTCACTGCTAGAGAACCATATGAGCCTGACCTTGGTGAGTTCTCACTAGATTCAGAGCTTGGTTCAGAAGGCGATGGCCCCATAGAAGACGAAGAGTTCTTCTCACCGCCACACTGATGTACTTGCATTTTACATAGTTTTAGTACATCTTTTATGCATCTTTTGCATAGTTTTAGCATATATTAGCATCATATCTTGTTCCTTTTCTCTTCTTATGCATTCATAGTAGTTTTAGGTTGCATTTGCATACATATGCATGTTTGGTCCTTTGAAATAGGTCTTTTGGAGCATTCTGGAGCATATGGGACGTAAGGGGCATGGAGGGACTTGGCACATGGATGCAGCACAACTGGATACGCAAAGGAAGAAGGAGGAAGCCATCTTGAAGACCAGCTCGACCATCTACTCGACCAACCGGTCGAGTTCCTCAACTCGACCGGCCAAGCTTCAACTCGATCGAGCTGAGAAGTCAACAGTCAAACCCGAAAAATGTTGCTTCCCCCTTGACTTTCCTTTGACCCAAAAAATGTTGAGTAGTTACCCATTAGGGTTTGAGATGGGATAGATTAGAGGTTTCATATGCTTAATCCTTCTAGCTTATGGTCTTAATCTAGATTCTCTCTCTTTTGGATAGATCTTAAGGCTACATGACCACTACCCCTGGCTTGTAAGTCCTTAGGCGATTCCCCACACGAAGTGATGGCATTCGCTGGAAAAGATCCACTAAGAGCTCCAATATCTCTTGCTCTAGAAATAGAGGTCTAAGGGGTTGGATGGATTAGTTTGGGCAATGATCCTATAGCCTCCAAGGTTTGATTCTCACTGGCTAACCCCCTGTTTCTGAGATCATTCCTTGGTTGATACCTTCACCTTGGGAAAGGGTTGGCTAGGCATTGAGAAGCCCAATATCAAGAGAAGCCTTGATACAAGGAGTTTTAAGAGCTAGATTGATTAAGTGTAGATTCCTTTGATTGCAAAACCCTGTCTTGAACCCTAATTCTCTCTTATCTTGTTAAAGTCGTCACCTTTAGTTTTTTGTCTCAACTCGACCCTAAACTCGATCGAGCTGGTACTCTGTTCCTACTCGACTCGAGTCTTGGTCGAGGCTTGTTTACTGCTTTATTTACTTTTGCATTGCATTTCTGTTTCATTTAGGTTGTTAGTGTTACTTCAAATCTTTACTGCTTGCTTGACTTTCTGGTTGTTTCATATTCTCATAGAGTGACAAGTTTCCCATTTTGGATTGATAACCTTTGTACTACACAACTATCATGGTTAAAGGGAATTGTTGACTGTGTTTGTGTTTGCATCTTACCACCTCATCATATACCACTGATTGCATTCCACACATCTCATTTCATATCTTTTCACATCCACACACAAATCCTATCATCAATTTGGCGCCGTTGCCGATTTGGGAATATTTTTGTTGCATTTGAGTTTCAAACACACTTGGACGATCAAGCTATACCACCCCTGTTCTATTGTACTGCTGGGTTTTTGTCTCTTTTTGCAGGTGTATGCGAACTCGATCGAGTCGGTCTACAGAGACTTGGTCGAGCTAGACTTACAACGGGTAGAAAGAGGGTTCAGAGGTCACAGAGGGTACAAGAGGAACCTGAGGTGCTTGTTGCTGATACAATGGATGTACCAGAGGGGAATGGAAACCCTTTGGGCAATGGACTCGGTCGAGCTAGGCAAACTCGACCGATTGGTCAAGGAGATGCTCCAAACCGCCACCAACAGAGACAAGGGATTGTTCCACCACCAGTGCAGAACCACAACTTTGAGATCAAGCTGGGAATGATCAACCTTGTCCAGAACAAGATGTTCCATGGATTGCCAAGTGAAGACCCCATTGACCACCTTGATGAGTTTGATAGGCTTTGTGATTTGACAAAGATCAATGGTGTCTCTGAAGATGCCATCAAGCTGAGACTCTTTCCTATGTCTCTAGCTGACAAAGCTCACCAATGGGAGAAGAGCTTGCCCCATGGCACAATCACCACTTGGGATGAATGCAAGAAGGCCTTTCTTGCTAAGTTTTTCTCCACCGGTCGCACAGCCAAGCTTAGAGGAGAGATATCCAGCTTCATCCAGCGAAACAATGAGACATTCGCAGAGGCTTGGGAGAGGTTCAAAGGCTACACAAGTCAGTGCCCACACCATGGATTCAACAATGAATCACTACTCTCCACTCTTTATAGAGGATGCTTGCCTAGGTATAGGGAGATGCTAGACACAGCTAGCAATGGGAACTTCCTCAACCAGGATGTAGATGATGGCTGGCAACTTGTGGAGAACATGGCCATATCAACAGAATGCTATGGAGAGCACTATGAAAGTACAGACTGGAGCTCGACCGCGCACTCGATCGAGCTGGAGCTCAGATGAGAAAAGACATGCTTGCACTCAACTCGAAGTTGGACAAACTGATCCTAGCCCAATTCCCTGCCAAGCATGTCAACTATGTCTCAGAACAAACCTAGTCAAGGACCAGGAAGGGGAGGAGACAACACAGAGGTTTGCTATATTCAAAATAGACAAGGAAGCTATAGGAATCCTCAACAAGGAGATACAACAATTATCCAAGCCCCCTGGCCGCACCAACAACAATGTTCCACAAGGCTTCAACCAAAGGACTACTCATACCCAACCAACTCAAGATTGGGATATGAAGGAAATGCTCCAACAACTCCTACAAGGGCAAGCCAAAGGTTCTCTGGAAATGAACAACAAGCTGGTTGAGATACACTCTAAACTAGAGTCATTGACTTCAAGAGTCCAAATCATTGAGTCTTCAAGTGCATCATCCTCTTCACCACAAGAGTATGCCCAAGCAGTTACACTAAGAAGTGGGCGGCAATTCCCAAGTAGAGGTAGCCCACCCCAAATCGCTGTGGACATCGATGACGAGGAAGGGGAGGATTTAGTCGAGTATGCTGATAACTCGACCCGAACTCGATCGAGCTGGAACAAAACCCTGAACCAGAACTCGATCGAGCTGGAGAAACTGAGACACTGCAAGACAAACCAGAGCTCGATCGAGCAGACAAAGCAAGCTCCAGCCAACCAGCTAAACCTGTTGCAAAGAAGAAAGACACTCCATCAGGACCACCACCATACAAACCCCCTCTACCCTTTCCAGGAAGGTTCAAGAAACAACTGTTGGAAGCACACAAGGCCAAGTTTGATGAACTAATGAGACAACTTGAGCTGAAGTTGCCCTTCATCGACGCCTTGATGCTCATTCCACCTTATCAGAAATTTCTGAAGGATGCTGTTCAGCAAAGAACCAGGGAAGCACAAGGGATGGTAGTGTTGACTCGTGAGTGCAGTGCAATCATTCAGCGGAAGGTCATCTCCGACAAAAAGGAAGATCCGGGGAGTTTCACTTTGCCCTGCATGTTGGGACCCCTATCTTTCAAAAACAGCCTCTGCGATCTAGGATCATCTGTCAGCCTCATGCCTTTGTCTGTAGCAAAGAGACTGGGATATCACAAGTATCAAGCCTGCGGAATCTCACTAGTCTTGGCAGATAGATCGATAAGGTTACCAACTGGAATGCTTGAAGACCTGCCTTTGAGAATAGGGAATGTAGAAATCCCCACCGACTTCATTGTGCTTGAGATGGATGAGGAACCAACAGATCCATTGATACTAGGAAGGCCATTCCTAGCTACAGCAAGAGCAATGATAGATGTCTGTGAAGGAACAATTGAGCTAAACTTGGGAAAGGACCTAAGGATGAAGTTTGATATCAAGGATACAATGAGGAAACCAACAATAGAAGGTCAGCTCTTTTATGTTGAGGAAATGGATCAGTTGGCAGATGAGCTTTTAGAAGAGTTATCAACAGAGGATCCCTACAAGTTGCTTTGACCAAGGATTCTTCAGAGGGATATGTGAGCTCAGAAACTGATGAGTACAAGAAGCTCCTTGACACCTTCAGACCAGTTCCAAACATTCTGAGCATTGAGGGGTTGGACAGGCCAGTTTGCGAAGTCATGGCAGTGAGCTCGATCAAGAGCTCGATCGAGTCGGCCTCGAACAAACGAACTCGATCGAGCTGGGGACTGAATGCAAGGAGCAAGCTCAAGGAGATTGGTCTGAGCTCAAGGCGCCTAAAGTCGACCTCAAACCTTTGCCTGAGGGCCTCAGGTATGCATTTCTGGGTGAAAACTCAACTTACCCTGTCATTGTGAACTCTGATTTGGAACCTGAACAGTTGAGTGCTTTGCTTGTTGAATTGAGGAAGTACAGAAAGGCAATAGGTTACACTCTAGATGATATCAAGGGGATCTCCCCTGACCTATGCATCCATAGGATTCATCTAGAGGATGAAAGTAAGTCAAGCATTGAACCTCAGAGAAGATTGAACCCCAATCTAAAGGAAGTAGTGAAGAAAGAGATACTCAAGTTGCTTGATGCTGGGATAATCTATCCCATCAGTGATAGCACTTGGATATCTCCAGTTCATTGCGTCCCAAAGAAAGGGGGGATCACTGTCATTAAAAATGACAAAGAGGAGCTGATTCCCACTAGAACAATAGTGGGGCATCGCATGTGTATTGACTATAGGAAGTTAAATTCAGCATCTAGAAAGGATCATTTCCCTCTCCCTTTCATTGATCAGATGTTAGAAAGATTAGCAAACCACCCTTTTTATTGTTTTCTTGATGGCTACAGTGGTTTCTTCCAAATCCCGATCCACCCTAATGATCAGGAGAAGACCACTTTCACATGCCCTTATGGTACCTTTGCTTATCGAAGGATGCCATTTGGGCTGTGCAATGCCCAGCTACTTTCCAGAGTGCATGACCTCCATTTTTTCAGATCTGATAGAGGAGATGGTAGAAGTCTTCATGGACGATTTCTCAGTCTATGGAGCATCCTTCTCCTCATGTTTGTCTAACTTGTGCAGGGTGTTGCAGAGGTGTGAGGAGACAATCTAGTACTCAACTGGGAGAAGTGCCACTTCATGGTTCGAGAAGGGATTGTGCTTGGACACAAGATTTCCGAGAAAGGGATCGAGCTCGATCGAGCTAAGGTGGATGTCATGTTGCAGCTCCCTGTTCCCAAGACTGTGAAGGACATCAGGAGTTTTCTGGGTCATGCAGGGTTCTACAGAAGATTCATCAAGGATTTCTCAAAGATAGCAAGACCCTTGACAAGGCTTCTGTGCAAGGAGACAGATTTTGAGTTTGATGAAGAATGCCACAAGTCTTGGACCTTGCTGAAGGATGCTCTGGTATCTGCCCCAATAGTTCAAGCTCCAAACTGGGATCACCCATTTGAGATTATGTGTGATGCATCTGACTATGCAGTAGGAGCAGTGCTTGGCCAAAAGATAGACAAGAAACTCAATGTCATCTACTATGCAAGCAAGACTATGGATGATGCTCATGCAAGTATGCAACCACAGAGAAGGAGCTCCTTGCCATAGTCTTTGCCTTTGAGAAATTTCGAAGCTATATAGTTGGGTCCAAGGTGATTGTGCACACTGACCATGCTGCCCTTAGGCACATCTTTCGCTAAGAAAGATACAAAGCCAAGACTTCTCAGATGGATCCTTTTGCTTCAAGAGTTTGACATAGAAGTTGTGGACAAAAAGGGAGTAGAATGGAGTTGCTGATCATCTCTCTAGGATGCGAGTTGAAGACATGATCCCCATCAATGATTCTATGCCTGAAGAACAGCTTATGGCAATCATGATCTTGAAGGAGAGTTTTGATGAGAAAGTCAGGCTGGAAGAAGTTAAGGCTCTGCGTGATGAGAATTTGCCATGGTATGCTGATATAGTGAACTTCATGGTGTCCGGAGAAGTCCCTAGTAGTTTTGATGCTTACAAGAGGAAGAAATTCTTCAAGGATGCTAGGCATTACTATTGGGATGAGCCTTACTTGTACAAGAGAGGACCAGACAGCATTTACAGGAGATGCATAGCTGAAGAGGATGTACAAGGAGTTCTAGAGCATTGCCATGGGTCAGCTTATGGAGGTCACTTTGCTACATTCAAAACAGCAACTAAGGTTTGCAATCTGGTTTATGGTGGCCTACTTGTTTAAAGATGCAGCAAGCTACATCGCCAAGTGTGATCCATGCCAAAGGAAAGGAGATCACCAAGAGAGATGAAATGCCACTAAACCCAATTCTGGAAGTTGAGATCTTTGATGTATGGGGAATAGACTTCATGGGACCTTTCAAAGCCTCCTCAAACGGGCACAACTACATTTTGGTTGCTGTGGACTATGTGTCCAAATGGATTGAAGCCATCCCTGCCCACCTGTGATGCTAAGGTTGTTATCAAACTGTTCAGAACCATCATCTTTCCAAGATATGGCATCCCAAGGGTTGTTATTTCGGATGGAGGTTCCCATTTCATCAACAAGGTGTTTGAGAAGTTGATGAAGAGTTATGGAGTCAAGCACAAGGTCGCTACACCTTACCACCCTCAAACCAGTGGGCAAGTTGAGGTCTCCAACAGACAGATAAAGGCCATTATTGGAGAAGACAGTGAGCTTCACTAGGAAAGGATTGGTCAACAAGACTTGATGAAGCACTTTGGGCTTATAGAACAGCTTACAAAACCCCCATTGGAAGGTCTCCTTTCAACTTGCTGTATGGAAAGGATTGCCACTTACCTGTGGAGGTCGATACAAGGCACTTTATGGGCAGTAAAGATGCTGAACTTTGATATAAAGGCAGCACAAGAGAGAAGATAATGAACTTGTTTGAGTTGGAGGAAATCAGAATGAATGCCTATGAGAACTCCATGATCTATAAGATGAGAACAAGGCAGCCCACGACAAACTGATTCGCCTTAAAGACTTCAAGGTTGGGGACAGTGTGCTCTTGTATAACTCCAAGCTAAGGTTGTTTCCCGGGAAGCTGAGGTCAAAGTGGGCGGGACCATTCAAGATCACGAAGTTCTCCCTATGGATCCCTCACTCTGCTCAATCAAGAGGGGAAGGAATTCACAGTGAATGGGCATAGATGCAAGCCATATCTAGGAATGACCCCCACAGAGGAGATCATCACTCCTCTTCAAGATCCAACCCCGGCCTAAAAGGGGTAAGGTCAAGCTATGAGACCTAAAACAAGCTCACTTGGGAGGAATTCCCATGTCTATCTTGTATATTTATGCTTTACTTTTATTTCTATGATTTTCTTGGCTAAGTCTTGCAGGAGCAGGTTTTAGGAAGAAGAGGCTAACTCGAGGCACAACTCGATCGAGCCAAGACAAGCTCGATCGAGTGAGGCGAACCCAGTCGAGTGGAGTGCTCCTGATGGCCGTCTGCCCTCTCCAGACCACGACCTTGCCTCCCAGTTCTTTGGGGGGCACTGAGGTATCCAAACACCAACCCTTGTACATACCATTTCATATTTTCTTGCATTTGTTTTTTTTTCTTGGTTTTGCCCTCTTGAATCTTTCACTAAATTTCTCTCACACAAGGGACTGTGTGATTTAAGTTTGGGGGAGGGTTCAAGAGATGATTTAACCTTGTTTTCTTTGTTCTTAGTTTTTCATCTTTTGCATAGAAAAACCAAAAAAATCATAAAATTTTCAAAAAATCCAAAAATATTTTCATCTTTTTGCATTCATATTTGTTAGATTGTTTAGGATTGCATTTTTCACTTGCATTGTTGATTTGACTTTGAAAACTTGTTCATCTTTTGCGATTTCTTGAGTGCCCTGTTTTTAGATTCTTTGTGCATTAGGGTGAGATTGATTGAGCAGCAAGAACCATGTTTATCTTGATCATATCACTGCATGCACATCTCATTCAACCATTGCTGTGATTTGATGCATTTCCCTATCTATTTGAACCATAACTTGATCTTTAATTACCAATGCTTGCATTTGATTTCAACTCATGGCTACCACATACATATCTGGACATTCTTTACCATTTTCATATCCCTTTGCTTGTCCAGATAGCTGATCTCTATCTTTGAGACAGTTACCACACCTTAAACCTAAGCCTTTTCATTTCAAACCCCATATTATCTCTTGTGCGATTGTGAGAACCTTTCTTGGCTTTGCTTAGCATAAGGTGTTGTGTTTAAACCGGCAGGGGCAGTAGTTCTAGTTGTCTAGTTCTCTTGGGATTGTTTTCAGGCTAAGTTTGGGGGTGCCAACTCGAGCTCGATCGAGTTGGGTGTAAAAACCAGAAAAGTGGTAAAAGTTGGGAAAACCCAAAGGAAAAAGAGTTTAGTTAAGTCCAGGGAGTTGGCAGTGTTAAAAAGGGTCTAGTAAAGGTTTGGGAAGTTAAAAAAGGAAGTAAAAAGGGTTCTAAGTAGAATGAAAAGAAGGCAAAGCCTCAAGTGTCAAAAAGAAAGAAAAGTTCCCTAAGTGTTTAGAAAATCCCAAACCGCTAGATGTTACCTCAAGAAGCCTCTCCCTAGGAAGTTCTTAAAAGAAAAGTGAGCAAAGCTCCTCAGTTTCAAAGGCGAAATGCCAAAAAGGGTAGTTAGGATTTTGTTCTAAAAAGCTCTAAGTGTTGAACTCGATCGAGTTAGGATTAGGCGGCTCGAGCTGCTGTTCTTGCATCATCTTTGGTTCTAACACTTAGCCTTCTGCCAAAGCAAAGCCACTTTCTTGAGAGATCCCTGTTACTAAACCACCATACAAAAGAGACCCTCTTTGTCTCTTAACCCATAAACCCTTGAAACCAAATGAGTTGATTGATCTTGCATGTTTTTGGTTCACTGTTTTTGCTTAATGAATGTTAAAGGGATTTGCTGATTTGAATGCATTGTTTGAGTGACTGTGAAGTGGGATTGATGTTGATAAGCATGGTTAAATCTTAATGAATATCTCTAACCTTGTTGCATTTTAGAATCTCTAAGTTGGACATTTAGCAAATCG